GGGGGGGTGAGGGGTGAAGCGAGAGGGAGCATGTAGGGACTGTGGTGGAGGGTGAAACAAGAGGGACATACAGACTGGGGGAGGGGACACATTGGATTATCGGAAGGGAGTCTGAGAAGGGGGTTTATAGAGACTTGGGGTCCACTCTCTGTATGGGAGGAAATGAATGGTAAATTGAAATATACAGAAGTGGAGAGATGTTATGATAACTGAAGTGATTCAGTGAACTGAGCTACATGGAGAGGTGGTTACTGGGCGGATCAGTGGCTGGAAGGTGCCAATGGGGTTACGTGCAGTTGGTTATAGAGAAAGGGGAACATATCGAGACATGGGGAACACTGACACATTTATAAATGGCCATATGTGACTTAGTGGTTATTAGGTGTACAAGTGCTGCAGTGAGACAGGGGAAATTACATGGCAGGTTACCCAGCAGTGATGCTACCAGTAATTCAGGGATGTGGATTTATGAACCAGAGGGAAGATCTCAAATCCCTACCTCAGCAGCTTAGAATTTTAATTAATTTATTTAATACTTCATATCAGTAATGGTGATTAGAAATTGCTGGAAAGGTGTGAACGTATTTGGTTCAGGATGTCCTTTAGAGAAGAAAATCTGCCATCCTTGCCTGTACCATGGTGTATGTAACTTCAGTGTAGTTGGCTCTAAAGTTGTCAAATCAAAGCAAGTCACTCAGTTGCATTCAAGAAGGAGACACAGCACCATCTTTTCCAGCTCAGTCAGAGATGGACAATAAATACCTTGCTGTTGGGACATATTGTGTGAATGAATTTTAACAAAATGTTGGATGATATTTAGTATATTAGTAGTGAGTTACAGAAGTTGGGAAAATGAGAAATGGGCGATATAGAGAGAGACTTTTTTGCTCATCCACGGTTTTTAAACTTCTTGCCTTTACCAAAATACCTTGCATTATATTGCTTAGGCACGATTACATGGGTTACATTTTCTATGTACAGTTGAGAGAGTTAAAATTTTTATCAAGGGTTTTTTTTGAGAGATTTTCTCAAGGCCAGTGTTGATTCACAAAGCTATTTGTCATTGTATCAAACTCCATTTTAACAATGTTGTCAAGAAGTAATATTGCCTTCTGAGTTTGTGTTTTCTTCTTTGAGGGTATTGATAATCTAGCACAAATATCAACGATGACATGTACGTTACGCTATCAAATTTTTTAACTAAGTGCCTGTAATAGGAATTTTTTGGTTATTTATTAGAAATAAACCTCACATACTGTTGTACATTCACCAAAATAAATAGAAAATTAGCATTGAGGTAGATAGTGAACCTTGATTTAATTGAATGGCAGAGCAGAATTGCCTATTCCTAATCCTATGTTCCCAATGGAAACCTCGTGTAAAACCTGATTTTCCAAGAATTTCTGTAATTAGGGAAAACATGATTCGCAAATAGCTTCCTGAAGGGCTTCATACGCATTGAATGTCAGATGCTGGCTGTCAGTTCGGTAACCTGTAGGAGGCTCTGGAAAGGGTGCAGAAGAGGTTTACCATGATGCTGCCTAAATTAGAGGGTATGAGCTATAAAGAGAGGCTAGAAAAACTCGGGTTGTTTTCTCTTGAGCAGCGGAGGCGGAGGGAAGGCTTGGTAGAAGTCTATAAAATTATGAGATGGTTAGATAGGGTTGACGGTCAGAATCTTTCTCCCAGAGTTGAAATGTCTAATACTAGGGGGCATGCATTTAAGTGAGAGGGGGAAAGTTCAAAGGAGACATGAGGGGCACATTTTTTACACAGAGACTGGTAGGAGAGTGGAATGCACTGCCGGGGGTGGTGGTTGAGGCAGATACGATAGGGCATTTAAGGGACTTTTAGATAAGCACATGAATATGCAAGGAGTGGAGGGATATGGACCAAGGGCAAGCAGAAGGGATTTGCTTTATTTGGTGTCGTGTCTGGCATGACATCATGGGTCGAAGGGCCCGTTCCTGTCTTGTACTGTTCTATGTTCTATTTCTTTGTTTTAACAAAATTGCAGATGATCTATCTCTGTGTTCTATTCCTCTGTACATAAATAGTAAATATCTTGGCGACCATAATCGTGACCCCTTTGTAGAAAGTTCTCTTGTGTCCTTTTCTTGCAGTGCATGGAATATTATGAGTGGTTCTAAACTCTGATAAACTTGGTCAGTGATGGATAAAGTTACATGTTGCAAAAGGCTATGATACCTATCTTCTCAATCAACTAGCATGCAGGCCGAGTGGTCTGTTGCCCAGCCGAAACTCTGTCCAAGCCACCGAAAAGCCACTGCTTTGGCTTCTGAATCTCGCCAGCAAGGCAGCATGCATGTGGTCAGACTATGACCTCCAGCTTGGCTAATCTCAGGTTTTCTCAATCTCGCCTTCAGATGCACCTCTTATCACAGATTCTGTCTCCGGAGGAGGAGCAGCTGTGTGGGAGAGACTGAATCTCTGATCAGAGGAGTTGATCCTGCTAGACTCCAAGTACAGAGTCTCTGACTGTACATGTCCCCGACTGGTCACTTCCATGTTTGAATTTCATAGTCTTTTTGAAGGTGCTTTGTGTTGAATGCACCTGGCACCTCTGTGTATTTTATATATTTGTTGAGGCATGCATTTATAAAGTACTTCTGGGACATCTCAAACAACTTTGTAGCCAATGAAGTATTTTTGAATTGCAGCCACTGCTGTGGAAGACATGCCAGTCAAATTGCACAGTAGATTCCACAATCAACAATGAGTCGTTGGCTAAATAATCATGTCTTAGTGATGTAGGTTGAGGCATTGATGTTGAACCAGGAGAGTGGTTACATTACTAAAATAAAACAAAGAACTACAGATGCTTGAGATCTGAAACAAAAACTGAAATTGCTGGAGAAACTCCCCAAGTCTGGCAGCATCAGTAGGATGAAAGCAGAGTGTGGCAGTGAGATAAACACTAAAGTAAAACAATAAAGACTCACCAGACTTGAAATGTTAACTCTGCTTTCTTCCCACGGATGCTGCCAGATCTGCTGAGTTTCTCCAGCAATTTCTGCTTTTGTGACTCATTACAACACACTGGTCATTTTTGAAATAGCGACTGTGGTATCTTTTGAATTCACCTGAGCAGATGTTTAGTATGTCAGCTAAGCAATGTCACCTCCACCAGTGCAACACTCCATCAGTAGTGCACTGGAGTAAGTGTTAACCTGCAATCCTCTGACTTTTGATGGTAGATGAACAAGAGATTCAGGACCGTCAAGGATGCTGGTGAAGAGGTGAGAGAGAGGGAGTTAACTGCAGTGCGGGGATAAGGATTATGTGGGACTTAGTTTGTACTGTGTCCCTATTTTTAATAGCTTTGCTTTCACATAGAGTTAACTACTTCAAACCCTCAGTCTACGTCCTGATTTATGATACTTCTCTTGACTTTGAGTAAGACAAATTGTGGATTCAAGTCCCAGACCAGAAACTTGAGGATAAAAATGAAACTAACACTTGTTTAATACTGAGTGAGTGTTTTGTGGTTGGAGGTGATGTCTTTTAGGTAGGACATTGAGCTGAGGCCTTGCCTGTCCCCTTTCATTGTCCTGGCTGATATTTATCCCTCAATTAAAACAGGTCATTGTCTTAGCACTAGCACAGAAATTCTTGTCAAGAAGAGTTACTGGACCTGAAATGTTAACTCTGCTTTCTCTCCACAGATGCTGACGAACCTGCTGAGTTTTTCCAGCTATTTTTGTTATTGTTTCTGATTTCCAGCGTCCACAGTTCTTTTGGTTTTCAGGTTATTGTATCACTTAACTTGTCTAGTTACCATTTGTGGGAGCAAATTTCTTGTATTCCAACAATGACTACACTTTAAAAGTGACTTAAAAGAATCTGGAGATATGTAAAGTTCCTATCTTTCAAATTGGCTTGTTATGCTTTTCCAACTGTTCTGTTTTTGCTCCATTTGCTACTGACTCAATTCTCAGTATTTCTCTTTTTGACATGCTGAACATCTGCTCCGGTGAATCCAAAAGATCCTACAGTCAACATTTCAAAGGTGACCAGTGTGTTGTAATGAGTCACAAAAACAGAAATTGCTGGAGAAACTCAGCAGGTCTGGCAGCATCTGTGGGAAGAAAGCAGAGTATAAAATTAAGAGTCCTACTCTAAAGGAGATGCAGGAGCAAAGAGACCCGGGTGTATATGTGCATGTCGTTAAAGTTGGTGGGATATGTGGAGTGTGTAATTAAGAAAGCTTTTAATACCCTGGGCTTTATTGATAGCATAAGAGTACAAGACCAAGGAGGTTATCCTAAAACTTGCGTATGACACTAGTTAGACCTCAACAATTCTGTAATGGTGATTTTTATTTTGCACTGAAAGCAATAAATCAGAACGTGTGGCGGTTTAAAATTTATTGGGGAAGGGGAGAGATTTTTCTCATTCCCTGTTACATAAGCCTGTACCCAATTCCTCCCCACTTACGAAGTGCCCTCAGAAACTCTTTGGCAGCATTTCAGTGGTATAGATAAAAGCTGTCTCTGTATAACCCATGTATGTACCCTATCCTTTTTTAAATTGTGTTTGTGATGTATTTGGCAGCATACCACAGAATCTGTCTCACTGTTTTACTTTGTCTAGGTGCTGGGCATCCCATGAAGCCACATCGTCTGTCTCTCACTCACAGTTTGGTTCTACATTATGGACTATACAAGAAAATGATGGTATGTGTAATGATTTCAAAACTGTTGGTTTCACAGAATTAGACCAAACGTACAGTATAGAAACAGACCTATTGGCCCATCTGAGTTGGTTTGTGCCTCATGTTCTCCTTCCACTGTAATGACACCTTTCCTCCAATAATCATTTAGATCCTTCCTAAGATGCCCCTTCATAAACAGGCTGAGGCAGCACTTCCCAAACTGTGGGTCATGACTCTTGTTGGATTTGCAAAAGCACCAGATGGTATCATAGTCTCTGCTTCATCAGAGACTGCGCCCTACAGTAGCACTGAGGCCTGGGCAAAATCCAGCCCTGTCCTTGCCCTCCTTGGCGCTCAGTCTCTCTGAGACAGGTGTCGGAAAGGCAGCATAAACATGTAGACTGCAAACCCTGAATGAGAAGACACTGGTCCTATGTTTGCACCTTCGCAAGGCGACAGACCTGGGTTAACTCCCACTGTCTTTCGGGGGTGATGTGCAGGAGGGTAAATGCAAGTCGCCATCTTTATAGGGAGCATTGTGCAGCAGGGTGACTGCCCAGCCTCCACTTATTTTAGTGGACAGTGTGAAGTAGGGGTCATGCATGGTGACCCTGAGTAAGGAAACAGGATGAGAGGGGCATCACGGAGCCTTCTATCACTGGGAAATTGAAGAGCATATCTGGATCCTACATAACTACATGAAATTATATTTTAATAGAGTATTTTAAAAGACAGATTTTCATTTATTTGGTATGCTACTTTATTGCTGGTTTATGGGGTGTCAAATTAGAAAATGGTCTGGAAGTAGCTGCTTACCAGGAAAATCATTGAGGTAGCCTAGGCATTTAATCTGATTGAAAAGCTGAACATTTGTGACTGGAGCTTTTGAAAAGAACGATGCAAAAGTGTGTTGCTGTTTGGCAGTGTATTCATCGAAGTGGTTTTTATCTTACTAAACTAAAGTTAATGCATTTGGGACGGATCCCTACATTTGAAAAATTGTGGTCCGGGATCTGACTTACTGTTTTGGGATTTCCCCAGAAGAAAATGCTTTAACAGCAATGTACTAATGCCATAAATAATTTCTTCATCGCTCATGCTCTGTTTTTTTGATTCTGGGGATGTGGTCGTGTCTGGCAAGGCCAACGTTTATTGGACATTCGTTGTTGCCCCTTTGGAAAGGCAGTGGTGTGCCACCTTATAAAATCACTGTCATTTGGGGAGCACTTTGGGTAATATACTATTTTAAAGGTGTAGGATAAAAGCATATTGTATTAACTGTTTAGTCATATTAGATGGATTGCAGGTGTTCTAGTGTACTGTTAGTCCATTTAACCATTCTCCCCATTTGACACTTAGGGATGAGGGTAAACAAATCCGAGTGTAAAATTCTCAATGATAGCCTTGTTTCCAACAGGTATTCAAACCCTATCAGGCCTCTCAACATGACATGTGCCGGTTTCACTCTGAGGACTACATAGATTTCCTGCAGAGAGTGAGTCCCAACAACATGCAGGGTTTCACCAAGAGCCTGAACACCTTCAATGTGGGAGACGATTGGTAAGGGAGAAACAAGGCTGTCTGTTTAAATGTGGCAACTGTGACTCTGTTGAACTGCTGACTTGATTCAGGTTGTTTTTGTCTTCTTAATGTTGAGTGTGGCTCCTACTTTAGGGGAGGCAAAGGCCTGGAGATATTATCACTAGACTATTAATCCAGAGACCCTGGTAAATTTCTGGGGATCAGAGTTCAAATTCCACTACAGCAGAAGGTGGAATTTGAATTCAATAAAAATCTGGAATTAAGAGTCTGATGATGATCATGCATTCATTGTCGATTGTTGGAAAAACTATCTGGTTCCCTAATGTCCTTTAGGGAAGGAAATTTGTCCTTACCTGGTCTGGCCTACAACAATGTGGTTGACTCTTAACTGCCTTCTGGGCAATTAAGAATAGGCAATAAATGCTGGCCAGTCCAGTTATACCCACATCCCATGAATGAACAACAAACTTGCACTTTTCCTGTTCATTTTAGATAGCTCTCTATATTCAGAAAAATGACTGACACCTTGACACTGTATAACAATTGCAGAGGAGCTGTTTCAGTACAATTCATGCAATGTGGCACTAATTCAGGTTTTACTAAATGTAGGTTTATGAAAGATCTTGTCAAACGTGGCAAGTCAGAACATTTGGAAGTAATTCTGCAGGTCATTAGGAAGGCAAATTAAATGTTGGTCTTTATTGCAAGGCACGTTGAGTATAAATGTGGTGAACTCTTCGAGGTGTATTGAATGGTTTACTTAACTAAGGAGTAATGCACTTGCAGAATTGGAGATGGATCAGATGGATCACTTGGCTGATTCCTAGAATGGAGTTGTTGTCTTTGGTGGAAAGGTCGAATGGGTTCAGAATGTACTTACTGGAGTTTGGAAGAATGAGAGGTGATCTTATTGAAGCAAATATGATTGTGAGGGGGCTTAACAGTGTGGATGCCGAGATGATGTTTCCCCACATGGGGAAGTCTAGAGCTATTCAAAAAATATCCATCTTCTGTTTAAGTTTGAGATGAGAAATATCTTCTGTGAAAGGGTTGTTATTCTTTGGAATTCTCTTCCTCAGAAGGGAGGCTGGGGTATTGTCTAAATCAATCTCGTATATACTCAATGATGTTTAAGTTAGAAGAGCAGGCAGGAAAGCGAAATTGAAGCTACAATCAGATCAGTCACAATTGTAATGGCAAACTCAGCTTGAGGGACAGAATTGCCTGCTTATTGTTTTATGACCTGTTTCCTGGAGTGCCAGTTCACTGAGAATCACTCAAGGCAGAAAGACCCTTGAATCTGATTAACAAGTACCTAAGGGCTGGATGAGTAGGCTGAGTCGTAGTACATGCAGTCTCTGTTACAAACGGGTTCCATTCCTGAGTCTGATCACAAGTCGATTTGTACATGAATCATAACACAATATAAAACATCAGTTCGTATGTACAGGAAATGTTCATGTATTGGGTATTTAAAATTATACCCTGTAAGAGTTTGCATTTGTAAGTATGAGCGTTTGATCAGACAGTCTAAATCAAGGATCCAACTCTGCACCTTGTTGTCTCGGATTCTCCAGCATCTGCAGTTCCTACTATCTCCCATACTTAAGTGCAATGCATATTGATGGCAACCATGCACTGTCACATGCCTCTCATGCCATAAGACTGTTACTACAACTAGGCTATGAAATAATTGCATGTCCCTGATCAGATTTTTAATCTGATACAGGCAGATGTATTTGGGAACAGAGGTATTACCATATATACTCGTGTAAAAGTGGAATTTTTAAGACTGTTTTTCAAGGTTAAATTTATGGGGTCGACTATTATATGGATACTACTTTTGAGCAGCTGAAATTCATGCTACAGTCCAAAATACTGCATCATTAGCAGAAGCCCAATCGATCTCTAAACAAATAAAGAAAAAAAAAGTGAATTATCATAATTACTGTAATATCTTGTCTTTTGGTTCAGCAAGCAGCTTTGTGCAGTCTTAGTTCTGCGCCGAAGTACTAAGTCATGCCTTCGCATGAACCTTGTGCACCATCCAGCACTTGCCTCAAAATCCTAAATTCCATCCTTCGTTTCGTGCAGGGATTCGAATGGTTTCACGACTAACACATTTTCCATTTTGACGATTTTCAAGTACCCACTCAACAGCATTTTTCTCCAATTGTGGCCACTTGCTCAGTTTACCTCTGGCGCAGTTTTGTTTTGGCATTGTCTGAAGTTGGTTTGATATCTTTCTCCAGTTTCTCCAAAACACAAAATTCTCTTGCTGCTACACAGTTATTTTGTGTTCTCTGCAACTTCATGAACTTTCAGTTTAAACGCTGCTATATATTTTTTGTTTTTTCTGGAGGGCATTTTTACACGAAATGATGAAGAAATTTCAAAACACATAATAACACAAAAAAAATTTCCTCATCGTGACAATTATGCACAGGATAATATGTTGACTCACAAATGTTCATCTATTATCTGTGAAAAACTAGGGTCAGCTTTTACACAAGATATATAAAAATTCCAGACATTTTGGCCAAAAATAGGGGGTTGACTTTCACATGAGTTTGACTTTTACTGGAGTACATATGATATATGGGTTCCTGTCTCTTCCAAGAATTCACAGAGACTTCATAAATGTCAAAACTACACGATATGTTTAAAATGGGGAAAGCTTATTTGTGTCAATACAATGTGGAGCTGGAGGAACACAGGAGGTCAGGCAACATCAGGGGAGCAGGAGAGTCGACGTTTCGGGTCGGGACCCTTCATCACGTAGGGTCCCGAAACGTCGACTCTCCTGCTCCTCTGATGCTGCCTGACCTGCTGTGTTCTTCCAGCTCCACACTGTATTGATTCTGACTCCAACATCTGCAGTTCTTGCTATCTCCAAAGCTTATTTGTGAGCCTGAATTCCATTAAATGGTTTTTAATCTGTTGCATGTTGAGTAGAATTAATGACACGGGTGGTGAGGAATTACCGTTTTTAAATTTCACTTTCTGAAACTTGAAATTTGAACAACCAGCTCAGCCTCCTCTTCGTAATATAACTTCTGTCTTTACCAGTGTTCACAAGTTACAGACTTCCAAAAAAATGTGCATAAACTGCTTGAATCTGAATGAAATCTACTTTATACTTTCAGTCCTGTGTTTCCGGGATTATTCGAGTTCTGCTCAAGATACACAGGAGCTTCTCTACAAGGAGCAACACAATTAAACAACAAGGTAACTAGGACATGTATTGCTGTTCAAAAGCAACTTTATTCAACTATATGGCTTGGTTACTATTTGAGTGTGGGGCCAGTACTTTTGGGCATGAAGTTGATTCTGGATTCTGCAATCATCTGCTTACATACGCCTCATTCATTCAGCATCATTCATTTGTCCATCTCATAGTCACCCTGTTTGTTCTTGCCTGTGCCTCTGCTTATTTATCTCCCTTTCCCACTTGACTCCTCCCCTTCTTTGTTTCTGTCTCTTGCTCTCAATCTCTCTCCCCCTCGCTCTTGCTCTCCACCCAACCCCCCCAGAAAAAACACTGCATGATTCAAATGCTGCATTCAATTCTGATCTCCCTGCTATAGGAATGGGGGGATGCTGTGAAATTTGGAAGGGCTCAGAAAAGATTTACAAGGATGTTGCCAGGGTTTGAGCTACAGGGAGAGGCTGAATGGGCTGGGGCTGTGGAGTGTCCGAGGTTGACGGGTGGCCTTATAGAAGTTTATAAAATCGTGAGGAGCATGAATAGGATGAACAGACAAGGTCTTTTTCCCAGTGTAGGGGAGTTCAAAACTAGAGGGCTTTGGTTTAAGGTGAGGGGGGAAAGATTTAAAAGGGACCTAAGAGGCAACTTTTTCATGCGGAAGGTGGTGTGTGTATGGAACAAACTGCCAGAGGAAGTGGTGGAGGCTAGTACAATTACAACATTTAAAAGGCATCTAGATGGTTATATGAATAGGAAGGGTTTAGAGGGATATGGACCAAATGCTGTCAAAATAGGACTAGATTAATTGAGCATATCTAGTTGGCATGGACGAGTTGGATTGAAGGGTCTGTTTCCATGATGTACATCTGTGACTTTATGACTGCTTTCTTTGCCTGCCTATCCGCACTGTCTTTTATTAAGAAATGATATTAAATATGGCCTGCTGATGAATGACATTCTGTTGATGACTGACACTTTGTTTTAAGGTGTGTGATATTGCCATTAATTGGGCTGGAGGACTTCATCATGCAAAGAAATTTGAGGTATTGTGTAACATGATAAAACATCTATCTAATATCTGCATCACTGGACTTCATCTAAAGTCTTTCGTCTTGATCATTTCTCTTTCCATAGGCTTCGGGATTCTGTTATGTGAACGATATTGTCATTGGAATCCTGGAATTGCTAAAGTAAGATATTTTCAAAATTATTTTTTGAATGATGCAGGAAATTGTAAGTTGATATTTCTCACCTGGTTGGAGTTTTACAAATATAGTACAATCTCAGTTAACAATGGTCTGATTTGCTGGATTTCCTGCATTGCACCAGTGACTCCACTTGGAAAGTATCGAATTGGTGACATGTTTGGGACATCCTGAGGTAATGAAAGATGATGGACCCCTGCAGGTTTTTCTTTGTATCCTCTGCAGAATGTTTTGTCAGGTGTGGGGTATCAGTGCAAGTTGGGATCAACAGCAGTTTTATACTTCATTAGACTCCATTCAGTTGGGTGAGTTGGTGCAGTTGTTCTGAAACTAGGTCCGCAGAGACCTTGTGGGTGTCTGTGGTACTCAGCATACCCAAGACTGGATGACCTCCTGGGACACCACGGTCAAGACTAGTGACTGAGTGGCAGCTGGTGGGTGATCTGCTCCCTCAAGCTTCTGGGTTCTTAAAACGAAGCTGTTCAAGGTTGATGTCAGGCAACATTTCTTCAGCCAGACAGTAACTCAAATCTGGGATTCTCTTCCTTCAAAATGTTGTTGAAGTTTTGGGGGTCAAGAATTGAATGGTAGGGAATGTGTCAGGAGCTGTGTAGCTTCCATGCAAACCCATCGTCCACCTCCTTCCCATGTTGCTTCAGATTAGGTCACTGTGATTCAAATCATTTACTTCTGACAATATAATTCGAAATCTCTTGTTTGTTACATTGAAGAATTCTTTTTGTGGCTCTGAATTTGTCAAAAGTCCACATCTGAAACAACAGAAATTGCTGGAGAAGCATAGCAGGTCTGGCAGCATCTGTGGACTAGAAAACAGAGTTGACATTTCAAGTCTAGTGACCCTTCAGACTCGAGGAACAAGAGGCCTTTCTGTTTATGGCAGGGCATAGGGATTTGGGATTGGAGTGGTGGGAGGAGTGAGCAGATAGGCGGAGCCCAGAGAGAGAATAAAGTATGTGTCTTTTTTTTCTAAAAGGGATGGCTGATTGTAATTTAGGGAAGAAGAAAAGCTAGGTAGGTGATAATGGGTTGGCTGTGCTGAAAGTCATCCATGTCATGAAAGGACGTGGAGTGTGGGGATCGAAGACGTCAGGCTCTAAACGTACTGAACTCAATATTGAGTTGTGAAGGCTGTAAGGTGCCCAAGTAGAAAATGAAATGCCGTTCCTCCATCTGCATCTGTCAAAGGCCCATGTCTGTTGTGACTCTACAGGTAAATCTAAACTCCCAAGTAACTATTTATTTCCTGCAGGTACCATCCACGTGTCCTGTACATTGATATTGATATTCACCATGGTGATGGGGTGCAGGAAGCCTTCTATCTCACTGATCGAGTTATGACTGTATCTTTCCACAAGTATGGGAACTACTTTTTCCCTGGAACAGGTGAGAATTTTGCAGCTAGTGACCCGAATGAGGGGCAAAAATAAAATTCAGTGCATTTTTTCCACTAAAGTATGAATTCTAGGGTTTCATACCAGCAATTCCCCAAGGCAGCGCTGCATAGACATAGGGGCGGTTGCTGACGGAATACTGCACTGTCTGAATTGTCGTTCTTTGACTAAGATGTTAAATTAAGGTCCCATGTGCCTGTTCAGATGGATGTTAGCCATCTCATCCTGACTGCGTACTTAGAAAAGTGCAGAAAGCTGTACTGGTGTCAAGGCTTGCATTTCTGAACAATCTATTAAAAAGTAACAATTTGTCATTCACCTCATCCTTAGAAATCTCAAGGCAACCCAAATATGCTGGAAATAAGCAGCAGATTATTTATAGTAACTAGATTTGTATTTTCTTGTGTATAGATGAACGTGTCACATTGTTGAGGTGTTTAAAGTGACTAAGCTAGTTGATATGCTGGATGATGAGGACAGTTTCCTCTGGTGTTGAAAGTTCAGGATAGGTTCAGTAGGCTGAATGGCCACATCCAGGTCCTATGTTACTTGTTTCAGAGTTCATTTCTTTTCAGATTTTTATTGTTTAATAGTAGCTCCTTTTCATAGAAAAACACCGCTCTCTTTGTAGGTGACATGTACGAGGTTGGTGCAGAAAGTGGACGGTATTATTGCCTGAATGTTCCACTCCGGGATGGAATCGATGACCAAAGTAAGGAACGGAACTTTTTGATCTCTTCTACAACTTAATCTGGCAAATATCCATCCAACCTTCCTTTTAACTCTCTCCGTCTTCCTGAGTTGTCTATCAAATAGATTATCTTTAAAAAAAGATCGTTCCCAGGATGTGGACATTGTTCAGCATATAATGCCCATTCCCAGTCATCTTAAGATGATAGTGGGCTTTCTGTAACCACTGGTACTTCTGAAAGCCATTAAGAGTCAAAACACATCTTTGGGGAACCAGAATCTCATATAGCATGAGGACATTTGGAGATATTATGATAATGTGACAGTTTTTTGGCCAACTACTGTGACCAGCTTTTAATTCACTAATTTTTTTTCTCCTGATTTTGAATAAGAATCTGAGTTCAGAGTTATATGGAAGATTTGAATTTGTGCTATCTGGATTAATATTAGTCCGGGTCTTTGGCTCACAAACCCAATTTATGTCCACTATGGAATAGCAAGAACTGCAGATGCTGGAGTTTCCTGCTCCTCTGATGCTGCCTGGCCTGCTGTGTTCCTCTAGCTCCATACTGTTATATATGTCCACTACGCTACCTTCATTAGTGCTGTTCAAAATGTAGTAAGATGATCACGTGGGATGTGAAATGTGGAGGAGCAGGTTGTATGAACAGTCTAAGCAGCAGCTGCAATTTTTGACCAGCTGAATGGAGTACGTAAATATGGGCATATCACTTTGAATAGCATACTACTGATCTACAGAACTGTGTGACAATAGAACATAGAACATAGAACATTACAGCGCAGTACAGGCCCTTCGATGTTGCGTCGACCTGTGAAACCAATCTGAAGCCCATCTAACCTAAACTATTCCATTATCATCCATATGTTTATCCAATGACCATTTAAATGCCCTTAAAGT